TAGTATATTAAATACGTATAAATGACATCTGTTTGGAATTTATAATGAAAAACATGGGGTGTCGTGCTTGCAAAAACGTTAAATAAAATAGGACTGCAATTCCACAAACATTTTAATATACAAGAAGACGTATTGATGTTCTTCATTATTCTGTAAGTTCACACAATATTGCATAATAACGATTTCCCTATTAAATTGCTGGAAAATATTAAGTGTTAGGAAATGTTTTAGGAAATTGAAAATTGAAACTGTTTAATTTCGTCATAATAACAAAAAAATATTACTAACAAAGATGTTAACGATAATTCGTAAAATTTAATGGTACGAAATAATATGGTCTAGATAAAAAGTAATTGCCAACTGTCTTGGTTGAAAACAGACGCAAAGAAGAAATGAAAGTTATTTACGTTTCAACCCAACAGATCGATGCGAAATAAGTACTGAAGATCTCTAGGCAGTGTTGAAATATCCAATTAACTTACTATTTTTTTTAATATCGTCGAGGTAGAAATCTCGGATTAAGACTACGAATCTCGCCAGACTATTTCTCGTTACATTATAAAAAGAAATGAAAAGTCGAAAGTACTATTGAGAGCAATGTCTGTATAGACCGGCCAAAGTAGCTGAATCGTTGGGGAAGAGAAGAACCATTGTTCGAAAACTAAGGAAGAACCCACGTACTTCTGCCCCAAGTCATGCAGGAATGACTGCTAACAGTTCTGGAAGAACCGTTCGCCCTTAGTTCCACCACAAAATTGCAAGTGGCTGCATTTTCAGGTAAGAACACACCAGCCAATAAAATAAGAGTATCGCACGAAATCATATTAATATCATTATAATAGAAATTTTTAATTAGTAAAACTTTACCAAAAATTATAGTATTGTAATTTGAATGCAATCGTTGTCTCTAACCTTGCTATTAGAGGTTGATGCGACTATAAAGAATAAATAAAAAAAAATTCCGTACGTAGTATGATACTGAATGAGAGAACAATGACCCGGATACAAAACAACGAAGAGTTTCAAGATACAAGAACTCTAATCGTTAAAACAATTTCCCTGCTTCATAACACTACAGTGTGTATAAGAAGATAAAATAAATATCAATGGTCGACGAGCTGCATTTGGACAGTATCACTCTTTTCGTCAAACTATCAGTATGTTAATTTTTCATTAACAATTTCATATATACAATTGCATTGTAACAGGAACACTATCTCGAGAAACAGAAAGCGCCAGCGATTATCAGTAATAAATGCCTTGAAAATAATGTAAAACGAGTTCGAAAGCAATTGCTTATTACGAACAGAATGTTGAGAGTTTATTTCAAGTATAACATGAATGTTAAGACTGACTCGACCAGTAAAAAATGTGACACTTTTATTCCTACAATACTAAATTTACAGCAGTGGGAGTAAAATAATAGTACAATACACTTGCGTTCTCGGCTCAATTTTATCAAGTGGGGATAAATCCAGAGAACGTGCTGATCACTTGACCGGCTTCCATTGCTGTATAGTATTGTATCAATATAAGTCACATTTTTTACAGATTGAATTCGTCTTAATATCCTTTATGACATAAAATAAGAAAAATTACATGGTTCCATTTAATAAAACTCAAGGCGACCTTCAGAAGTTTACTATGAAAAAATGTATCTTTGAAATGTTTGTATCATTATATACACTACCGGCCAAAAAACATTATTCCACGAGGATTTCATAAAATTAATGTGCTAAGATTGATTGAAAATAATTTTTTATTTGCATATACTGATTCCCGTAACTTTTATTATATTAGAACAGAATATGTAATGAGTTATTCATCAATCATGAACTCTGGTCCCATACTTTTGGCTGATAGTGTATATTGTCCAATAAACACAGATAAATTTTGGTTACCCACTTTTCTTAATACATTATCGTAAAATGCTGAAAAATTGAGCCAGGCCGTTAGAGTGAACACCTTCTATATCGGTTCTGGATACGTGCTCCAACATAAATCATGTACGTATTCTTCTGCAGTAGCATACACTAGTTCCAAAGCGCATATATTGAAACGATCTGGTAGCATTATTAACATCGGAACATCCAATCCGTTTATAACATTCTTGCAACGGAAATTTCACTCCCAGTAAACAGTACGAGTTCGAGGAACAATCGACAGCAATTTCTCACGTGGAACCATACAGCGAATATACAGGGTCAACCACGAATCGTGATCAGTAGAGATTACTCTGTTATTAGCAGTCCGATCGAAAATGTTTTTATCAGCATTATCAGCAAATTTTTTGTCAATTTTATTAATTTGTTATTATTTTATATAATAATTAATATAATATACATAATTCAAAAGTTAAGGTAAAAGTTATGTTATGATACTTACCGAATTCGTCTTGAAATTCTCTAACAGATAGGCGTAAAAAAATTAAGGTATATTTGCAAAAAATTGAAGGAGACCTTGAAAAATCATGAAAAAAAAGAGTTGACAAAACATTTGCTATAATCACGTTAAAGGTCTCTTGCAGTCATGCTATACCTGATAAAACCATTTTCGATCCGACTGCTAATAATAGAGTAGACTCTACTGATCGGGATTCGTGGTTCACCCTGTATGTAATAGAGAGCCGACAGGAAGTTCCATTCGCGGGTGTTCGAATGCTTCCGCGTAGACGGATGGTGCGATATCAACGCGATCCCGTAAAGAATACGAATTCTTCAAAGTTCATTAACTCTTTGCCGAGGGCGATACAAGATAGCCCGGAATTTCTTGCGTGGCCGCGGACTCGATAGTAAAAGCTGTGAATATTCGCAGGGCGGCGTTACGTATCTTCTTTCCCTCCCTTGAACACTATAAATTTTTCGCTGTGGTTCCGTGGAATGCACAAACACGGCAACTTTATTTTTCTCGCGTTTCGATTGCTCGCGCTTCGAACTGAAAAAGTTTAACATTAATACCTGCTTCAAATAAACAAGGCACGTAGGTAAAACTGTTGTGAAAATACTGCCATAGAGTTAGAAAAATGGTTAAACTTTGTTATACATTGGTAATTATAATATTTCGGACGCTTCGAAAAGCAAAACGTTTGTGAATACTTGAAAACATTGAATGTCCTAACGAGCATCAGATATGAGAATTATTTCTATTTGATTATTTGCATCGAAAGCCATTTTACGGACGCAATATTTAATATTTAGTAATAAATTAAATGTAAACAATGTCATGCGTATCACTTGAAACATATTTCATGGTTCACACAGTGCTATTCGTGAATTTTATGGAATTTATATCTGAAAATTGCTCAATCGAATATTCAACCAGGATTTATCGCGTGATATATTAAAAAACCAGTTCAATATGCAACGTGTTAACATTAACGAAGATAATAACCATATTTTATATTTTAGGAAGGAATTTCCTATGTAAATTAAAAATCCAATTTCTATTTGACTTGAATCTTTTGTCTTGAAAAAACTGCTTGAAAAAATAAAATAACTTCCAATACGCTTGGTTGTTATGCCTGTCTATTGCTTATTATTTCTACTAATGGTACAGACACTTAACAAATTAAACTATATGATATATTCTCCATCGATCAATTCTCCATCTACTCATAATTTATTTTTACTGCTGTAGAATAATGTTGCCATTGTTTACAAACATTTCCAGCATTTGAAATCATCGATGCTTTGCAAACGCCTGAGATAAGTGGTATTTAAATCTTTAATTGACAGATATTATTTCACCTTATTTTAATTAATTTCTTCACGTAAATATACCTTCTCCTAGATTGTATTTTTACTCGTTTAGCAGTCTATATATGTATACTGAATACTTTTAACACAGACAAAAGGACTGAAAATAGTTTATCTTCATAATTATGTAAACAGAGGGTAATAATATTGTAATATCTTTTAAGGTATCTAAACTTTACTACTTTAGTTTTATTCAACATATTCCCTATTTCATTCTATGTGCGATCTTTTAAACAGTCCATGAATTTCCTTCCGTATTAACAACTTTCACAAATTATTTAAAATAACACAATATGCGGAGTATATTATAAATCGTTTAAAAGTTAATCAAATTTAACCTATTCTTTGGCTGCGCGTATTATTGAATAAAATGTCGCTAATATGTTCAACCATTACCGTCTGTTTCTACTTAGAATAAATCTTGGCTATTGTACGGTACCATTTCTTCTCTAATACCTTATCTTTTGTAAAATTTATGAAACGTAATAATAACGTTAATAGAAAATCACTATAAACTCCTTCGTTCCTTCATAAAATTCCCGACTAATTAACTCGCGCAATAACAAATAACCCATTATCCGAAATGGAATATCTGAACCGTGTAACGGTAAAATTTTTCCAACTACTAAATCTTTGAAGAACGGCAATTAAGAACTTCTCTATCACTCCACAATCCAAGTTGTTTCTCGCTTCCGGTGCTAGAGTGGCAAGTTCCGCGAATAACGCGAAACATATTCACGGTGCACGCGACAACGGGTCCGCGCGCGTTTGTTGCCTTCGCTGAGGCGGAGGCGTTGGTGAAAAGTGTATTTTTTGTTCCGTGTTTATATTATACAGTTGTTGCGAAACTCTCAAGAACTTCCCACTCGTTTTCACTCGTTTCCCAGTTGTAAATTCCAACGGCGCATCGTGGCCCATTTATGCACGCGTTCCCTCGCATTCCTGGTCCCTTTCGCGAACAATTTTTCCCATTTCTTACCTCCCACCCCACCGCTGCACACGCAGCCCCTAAATTTCCCAGACGTTCGGTAGCTTTCAGCAGAACCGTGTAATTCCTTTCGAATTCACGCACGACCCGTTTCCACGCCTCCCCGACGAATCACGAGCCACGGTTCCCATAGCATCGCAGCGAAGATAATTCACCCGTCGGGTGTTTCGCACGTTCCACACAACTACTGTATACCTTGGCACTCGGTTCTCCCCCCCGCCCTCCCCACCCACACAACAAACAACCAACGAACTCACCTTTAACACCGTGGAGTATCTGCATCGGAGCTAGCAGCAACAGAAACATCGTCGCGATCATGTCCTTCCCCGTAGTCCTGCGGAATAAATCCTCCCGTCCGCTGGCCATCCTTAAAATACCAGCAAGTCGTCTGAACGACCAACGTAAACCGCGGACTCAATATTTCACGCACCACATTCGTTTTCGGTACACTGTGCGATGTGAAATCTATCTCTCCACAGAGCTCTCCCGATAGATCTTCCTCACCCGCGAGTCGAACACACTCTCACAGAGTACCCGATGATGTCACGCACAAACACGACGATTACAGACCCAGATTGATCCCGATCCAAGTTCAACGCAACGTGTAATCCACCAAAAACAAATGAAAAAAGTCAACCCCGTACTCTCGGTGATCACCTAGACAGCTGGGATCATTGGTCCCCGGGGGTTGCTAACCGATGGGGTAGTATTCTAGCAACCGGTCTACCCAAGCATCCGATTCCGGGCCTCGAAGTGGTACGAAACTCCTAGTACGGAAACGGAAAACGTTGCCCGGCTCGGAAGGATCCCCTTTCTCGATGTGTACAAACGGAACCCTTTTCGGCTTGTTGAAAGCGTGTCAGGCGGGAGCGTGAAGAACGCGGCGTGGAGCACGTGCACGCTCGATAAACGGCGGGCTACTGTACGGCCACAATGGTAAAAGGGTAAGAACCGAGAGAAATAGAAAGAGACCAAGAAAGAGACAGAGAGGAAGAGAAAGAGAGAGAGAGAGAGAAAGAGTGAGAGCGCCAGGTCCAGGGGCGTCGACAAGTAGCTAGGTGTAGGATCTCCGAAATTCGTTCGGGGATGATGATCGCGTGGTTATCCTTTAATGCGTAGACCCCAAAGATCGTTGATCACAGTCCACGGCCGATGATAGTTCAACGGTGTGCGTCTGGCGTATATCGGATGCGTGCGTTCGACAGAAGTTAACCACCACAACAACGTACCCGAGAAAGAGATGGAGTGAGAGCCCGCGACCGACTGACGGCGCCGTAGACGGAGGCCGGCACGACGCGATACGACCGATTCGTACGCTTACCCGAAACTAAGCGATTCGTGGCGAACGGCGCGCACCTGTCGTTCCGCGGGTCGCTGCGCATGTCCCTACGAAGGAAGCCGACTGCCACCCGCGGCAGAGCTCGCCCGCGTCCGGGGTGGGCGCGCAGATGGGAGAGAAACCGTGGCAGTCTCTGCATGAACGCGGAAAAGTAGTGGAATGGTCCCCTCTTGCACTTGGAATTAAGATTTTCCGTCCGATCTGAAACCCCCCCCCCCCCTTGCGTCCTTTACCGCCCGCGGAATTCCACCCGGTGATAGGATGGAACTTTTTGTACTTTTCGTTGGTGTAAAAATTGATGGGCGATATTATTTGATCGTGGGAGAAATTATTAGGTTGGAGAATTATGTTTTGTAACATATGCTTGTCTGAGAACAGAGAATGATTACAAGATTGTACCCTGGACAGTGAAGGATTAAATTTATTTTAAACTATTTAAGAATTGTTGTTGGAGAGAATATTTGAAGTTTTGTAAGTCGGATTTTTAGTGCTCTGGATAGTTATGCAGTTTAGCGGCTTTTCTCAATTTTAGCTATAAATTTCGCGGAAACTATGCCCAATCGGTGCTAACGCGTATAGGAAAAAGTTGTTCAAAATGTTGAGTTCTGTAACGTATACAAAGGTCATTGAAATTGGTGTTGAGTGTATGATTTCGAATAATTTCACACGCTTTTTTAAACTAAAATACCAAGAGTACATTACTTTTTCGACCCCCCTGCCCCTCGTCATTTTCCGTTTTCATGGTTAAATGAATCTATCTAAAAAACATCGCCGTGAAATACCTAAAATTGAGAAAAACCGCTAAATTTCATAATTACCGTCTTGTTTTTTACTAAATATAAATATTTAGAACATATTATTATTAGATACTTTATTTAATATGATAAATCCTATGACTAGATGCTTATTGTACTCACCAAGAAAAGTAAAAAATGTTCAATCAACATATGTAGGTCTTAAAATCAATTCTTTCGATAAAAAATACAAAAGTTCATTTTCACGTTTGTTACAGATGTTCCATTTTTATACAGAACTCATATCTACGGATCAGAGGTCGGCGTACATTTTCAGATATTCCTTTCGTATCTCTTATTGCCTGTTTTCATACAACCTTGAACTTGTGGTACCTCCAAACCAATTTATCTGATTACATTCAATATGTTGGGGAGTGACTCACTTACGATTTCGAACCCTCGTAAATATAAAAGTTGATTTTATATCGAAAAGATTTATGTTAGGGCATACCATGCATGCAATACCTTCAGTTTGTGTCAATCATTCAGTAGGTATTGATAAAAACGAACACAGAACGTCAACATCAGCGAAAAAAATGTATGAAAGATGTAATCAGATTGTAGTATATAAAGAGTGTTCCACTTATAACGAAAATCTAAATTAGTTCCACTGCCACTGAAAATAAGAAGAAATTAGTAATCAGACCATATAAACTGCTCTTAGTCATTTAAAAAATGTTTAGTAGCAACGGAAATAACATAGATAACTATTATAAGTGGAGCACCCTGTAAAACTGCAACGTTCAATTAGAAGTCTGTACTTTAATATTTAATATAAACGTAACAACGATATCTTCAACGAATCTTCTCAATTATTCGTCTACTCTAATTTTACCTTACGTGAATTGTAATTTCTCATTTAATGACTTAAACGGTTATCTAATTCAGTGTGTGCCAATTGTGTGACGTGTTTACGCATCACAAAAATTAGTTTCTCATTTCTTTCGATAATTGCATAATTCTTTACAGTACTTTACTAGTCAGATGACCTTGAAGAGAGTAGTATTTCGCAAGATGGCGTCAATGATTCCAGAACAGCCGGGTGTCATCAGTACCGTTGTCCCCCAGTGGTCGGTCAAACACCTGTTTCCTATTGAGTCACGCTACCTGACTTCTTCCTTTTCAGGGGATAAATAAAAAAATCGAGTCCACGACGTCTTGGTATTACTGCTATAGTCTTCATCGACATGGTTCAACGTGAAAATAAATGGAACTGTAACGAAATCGTTCATGCAGCTACATAATTTATGCATGTTCATTCAAAGTTGGTAATACAATATTAAAATATTATAATAAAATATTGTCCTGTTGTAAAAAAATTAAAAATTCATACTGTAAGAAAATTATAATGTTTAATTAAATGTATTACAGTAAATTTCAGAAATTCCATACCGTTATACACTGAATTGGAATTCGATATGAGGCATGCAACTTCCAGTAGTCTTGTTCGACCTTAAAAACACATCTACATAATTTTATATTAATATATCATATATCGAAGATCACAGAATATAATTACTTTTCGGTCCCATATGATCGCTACAATAATAGAAAAACATTCTATTCACGAAGCGGTAATGCCGCGACAGATTTTAATCCCCCTCGCGTCTGCGCCATTCAGACCATCGAGAATATAATTAGATCAGCAATCAATCGTAATCGCGACAACATACTTGATCACATTTGAATATGCGCGATCATGCTCCAGTTACTCGCAAATTTTGGTTATTTACGTTTACGACGATAGGTCAGTCGACGTTACGTTTTAATTAACGCTACCTAAATTCCCTATAAAGCAAACAAATTGAAAAGCATGGAATTTCTTTTTGGTCAAGTGAATTTTCCGGTTGCTCGGCGCCCATCGTAATTACTAGCGGGGCGCTTATTAGCATGAGAGCGTGTAATTGGGCCGGACAAAGGAGATAATGTATGTAACGACAAATGAAAATTTTGCGAACCGCGCGCGCGATTTGACAAATAGCGAATTCTGAGCTTTCTGGGCTATTGTATTTTTCGCAAACGTGCCGTACCGAGTCGAATCGACGTTCTTCTACGTTCCCACCGTAATCCGTTTCGTTTCTGAAAGTTTTCTTTTTTTTCAGTCCACGAACGTGATCTTCTTGGTACGGCTGTATTCCACGTCAGAGCAGACGAAGCATAGTTATCAGCGGTATGAAATGTAAATTCCCACGGAATTGAAAGAAAATACCAGGCAACTGTTATTAACATTCTTGTTTTTCCAGCGGTACAGGAGAAACTATTATGCAAACTGGTTCTCACTATTTCGTCTAAATATTCGCTGGATAATGATCCCATTGTTTTCGTTTACGATCGAACAATTGAATAGTGTTTCGGTCTCCTATGGCCTCTGGCGTTTAAATTTCGAGACATGTGAAAATTAATGCGTTCGAACATATAAGAAATATAATAGATGTTGAAGGAAAGAGTTTATGACTTTACAGGTTTATAATACTCACCAGGAAAAAGATAAAATACTGAAACCATAATAAATGGAATTCTACATGGAAAAATTAACTGAAAATATAAAAATAACATTTTTTTCTAAAAAGCAATTTTTAAGATTTCTGTCTTCTAATTATATCGGGTTTTATTAATTTATTGTAGGAAGCAAACAATTGCGTAATACTATCAAAGTTTTAATGATTATCTTAAATGAGATTCATCATTATTGAATGGATACATAAACTACGTTGTCCTGAAGTACATAAATATATAAAAGGTAATTAACCCTCCATGACCCCGGTTATTTTTACTGCTCCCGTCACCTCTTTGGGTCTTTTATGTCCAGACCTATTTATTTATCTGATAGGCTTCCAAAACATTCAGAGGAACTTTCCAATGCCTCTAATACATGATGCAATAGTTTTTAAAGTTGAATATTCAAACGTTTTTCAATAACAATCCCTTCGTTTCGGAGATATTTGAGCTCTTTCGCTTGCGCTATAAAAGACCCAGGGTCACAGAGGATTAATACTAAGCAGATACATAAGTTAATGTACATAATGCTCAGATACACATAGATTCAATTAATTTTCAATTTCAAATTAGTCGAAATTGAAGTTCGATATGAAAACACTTTAGACTGCAACGTTTTTATTCTGTTTTTTACATAAAATGATTTTTAGCTTATATTACCAATTCAGTGAAATCATAAATAAGTGCACTTTTCAGAATGATTTCCAATTATATTAACTATAAGATAAAGTGAATTTTGTAAAAGTTCTTAGTCACAAGCATCGATTTTGACCTTGAGTCGAGAGCGTGGTACACATGCATAGAAGGCCAAGGATAGAGGCTCGAAACGATGTTGAATTAACTGATTATGATT